CATATCATTTTTAAGCTGCAAAATCTACCTCGCAAAACTTTTGACGAAACCTAATACATGTTAAATATGAAAAATTGTTTTACAGAGTATTATATCCTGCGATAGTATAGACGTGTCCGCCGTCGACCACCAGATTAGCGCCGGTTATGTATGAGGCATCACTTGAGGCCAGGAATACCACTCCTTTGGCGATATCTAATGGTTGTCCCAATCGTTTGAGTGGTGTAATTGTCTTTGCAATACTACATATAGGGCCCGGTTTATCAGTCGTTTGTATACAGCCTGGGCTATTAGAAAACATTTAATTAAGTTAATAATATTAATAATACATTTTGATAATAAATAAAAAATGCTAATTAAAAATAATTACCTTAAACTATTGACACGAATGCCTTTGGATGCCAATTCGAGGGCCAGTACTTTAGTAATCATATCTACACCGGCTTTTGCGGACCCGTACGCCAGATTTTGGGCAGACTATTAGACAATTTGAATTGTACTAGGGTATATTAAATATATTTAATATTAAATTCATACCGGTGACATTACGTATAAACTCGAGATATCAATGATAGTGCCGTTAGTTTTCTCCAAATATGGAACCGATTCGTGGATCAGTTCGACGACTGCTCTCAAGTCTATGGCGAAGACCTGATCCCAGACTTGCATTATGTCTGTTTGGGTGATGTTATTGGTCGGATATATAGCGGCGTTGTTCACCAATACATCTAACTTTCCAAATGTTTTGATAGTATTGCCGATTAAAGTAGCGATGAATTCAGTTTGTGTGAGATCTCCGACCACTTCTAATGGCTGTTCATTATATATAAAATTAATATTAGATTTCACTTTCAATTCATTAATGATTTTAAGTTTACAAACCTTTAGTTTCTTTGGCGACCACTCTTGCACTTCTTTAGCAACTCTCTGGACATCCGCTTCTTTCCTACCGGTGACCACAACATTGGCCCCTAACACAGAGAACAGTTTTGCGATCCCCTCCCCGATTCCAGAACTGCTTCCGGTCACCAAAACTACTTTTCCCGTAAAGTTTCGTGAATTTATCACATCTTTATAGTCTTTGATATCAAAATCCGCATAAGCTATTGAAATCAATGCCAATGATAGTATTAATTTCATTTTAAAAATTAACTTGTTTATTATACTATTTTAAACCTTTCAATTTTGTAAGTTATTATCTCTTGTAATTATATCAGCATTTATTGGCGCAATACAATCAATACCCTGAACGTTGGGTTTGAATGAAGCAATATTTAAAAAAAATTTTGATATCAAAATTGCGAAATTTATTGAAATTAACTTAAATAACACTATTAACTTGATTTTTAAAATAAAAAATACTTGTTTAGTATGTTATAATTTATTATTTTCTTAGCTACTTATAGCACAATAATTTGTTTAATTATTCTATATATGAACGTTTGGTTGCATAAAGGGCGCATCTGGCTATAGTATAGTGAAGTGTATTCAATAGCTATAGTGATTTGCATTTTGTTACAGTTTCATTTTCCACAATAAATATTTTTTGAGTAATTAATAAATAAGTTTAAAATATATTAAATTCTTTTACTTAATAATAACTGAAAGGGAATTATAATTAGTTAAAAGAAAACAGTTATTTCATTAAATTATTAACTATAACTAGTGTAATAGGACCAATACAATATAAACTTCAATAAATAGGTTTAAATAAATGTTTTAATTATAATAAAGTTTTTAAATATTCTGAGAAAATTTAAAATCAATAAATATTTATTTAAATATAGTAAATAGATGTTTTAAACTATTATTTAACTAAATTTTATAATTTATAAAAATTTGTAAATAATTAAAAGTCTATAAATAATTAAGCAACAACTTAATCATACCTTGGTAAGGTAGTGCCAAAACCATTGGCACCAACACTAGTACTATAAAAGTATTCATTATCTCGATTAAATTAAATTAATAGTTTATGTAACTAGTAAATAATTATTGGTAGCAATGTTCACGGTGCCAGTAGCCTTTATAGATTTTCGAAAAATATTATTTACATTGATAATTTATGATGAATTACTAATTTAATTTGAAATTAAAACAAAACTTTGAGTGACATATTTTTACTATTTTTTAGTTTCAGCGTAAGTCAAAAGGTTTTTCAAATTAAATGCACAGTCTTAATTTACTTAATTTACTGATACTTTATTGAATTTAATGTAATTATTTTATAGCGGTTTAAGCATTTATATTACTAATATAAAATGCAGTGCATTTTTTGTGTCTTAGACAATTTATATTAATTAAATTATCTAAATTTTAAAATTATATTTTCTTAGAATTATATTTATGAAAACATAATCAAAAATTATCTTTAATAATTATCATTTTGATAAACATTTAAATTCGAGTTAAATTATAAATCACCTTTATGCTGAAATGTATAATTATAAAAACATTAGTTTTCTATTTAATTTAATATTAACATCTTGTTTATTAGAAATCAATATATTAGCAAATGTTATGAGGTAGTACTATTTTAAACTTGAAATCTAATAATACATAGTAAATGAGATAAATATTTTAAACATTATACAAACATAATTTTTAAATATAACATATCTAAATAATATTTATATTATCTATTATCTGTAGGATTACTATATTTAACTTCTTAAATTTAAATATTAACCAAATGGTTCTGATAAAATACTAATTACTTAAACTACAAATAGAAAATTTTGTTTAACTTTATAACTGAACAAGTTATATCATATATTATAATAAAATTAATTTTTAAAGCTAATTATAAAACACTATGAAAATTATACATATAAGTATGGTGGTGGTTGTTTCAGTATTTGTATTCAGGTTACATTGTCAAGAATTTACTGGGACAAAGTGGGTTGTGATTGCTGCGGTTAGTAAGGGTTGGCAAAATTACGGTGACCAGGTACGTTTTGTTAATTTTTATATTTTTTGAAGGATATAAATTATGTATATCATTTTTATATATCAATAGCACTACTAACTGTATATGTTGAAAAATTTTATACATCTATGCTGTAGGCTAATGTGTATCACGCCTACCATGTGGTACATTCGTTAGGCATTCCCGATGAAAATATCATACTGTTCCATTATAATGATCTCGTTTATAATTCCGTGAATCCGACTCCCGGTGTGATAATTAATACACCTAACGGTCAAAATGTTTACGATAGTATACCCCTATCACGTAGTTATACTGGCGATAGTATTACACCCGAGGTCAATTACTTATTTTATTAAAATATAATTTAATTATCCTATTATTTTTGTAAGCAGATATTTCTAGCAGTTATTAATGGTGACCCTGATAACATAGTAGGAGTCAAATATTGACGTAGTTGATAGTGGTCCAGATGATCATATATACATGATTGACCATGGTTCGCCAGGTAATATTATTAATTATATTGAATTGTTTAATAACGAATTCATATTTCTACAAATCTACCATGGTAATGTTAGGTTTAGTTTATTTTCCTGATGATCAAGTATTATACGCCAATCATTTAGTCGATACGCTAAAGGACATGTATCAAAATAATAGATTCGCCAAGCTTGTATATTATTTGGAAACTTGTTATTCAGGTAAAATAAATATCATATATATATATATATATATGAATAAAGGAATGTCATATAAAATTTACTTTATATCACCAGGCTCAATGTTTAGCAATTTATTGCCAAATGATATGAACGTATACGCGGTGACGGCTGCCGGGCCCACTGAGAGCAGTTATTTCTGTGGTCACGATTCAATATATAAAACTAACCTAGGTAAATTATACAAATTAAATTTATACCTTGCTTGATAGTGTAGTGAGCACTCAATGATAGCGTGTTACATTATTAATGTATTATAATCTAACAAGGTTCGTTATTCAGCAACTTTTGGATATTGAACCTAGACACTTTCGATTTAAATAGTCAAACATTGGACGATCAATACGAGTACATACGATACAAATCGTATAAGACTGGCTCCAAAAAACAGACTACCGAGTCAACATCACGGTACGGACAAATGGACATTGGTCATTGAGCGTGTCACGGTTTTTGGGTATTCTTGCACATTTTTTATTTTTATTATTTTTCTAATTTTAGTTACATATCTAAACCGTAGGTTATATAATTAGAGCTGCCATATAATTATACGGTTCGCGATCTAAATTACCTTGGTGGTGAAGGATGCGAAACAGTTTCCCGACTTGACAGAATCTTATACTTATTGAGACAAAGAATCGCCAAGGTTAGTGACCCTGCTCTAAAAGACAAGTATAAAAAATGTGATATGCTACAAATAATTAATGTGTTGAACTTACTAGTTTAGTTAGTTCCTTTTATTTTCCATGATAATAAGCAAACTATACTAATTGACATGTTTATATATATATATTAGGTATAAAAACGGGCTTATTAACTTGGTGGAGCACCTTGAATATGTGGATGGCAAATTAGTTGATTTTGTAAAACACTTGGCTGACATTGTCACTACTATTCGAAATGATACCGTGTTGACTGAAACATAAACATTAGAAAATGGTCAATGTTATCGCAAGTTTGTCGAAGCATTCGATAAACATTGCTTTCGCCTAAATGTATATAGACATTTCATCAAGATACTTACTTGCGCTATTAATCACCCTTGACCACTATTGATTTAAATAAATGAATTTATTTATCTATTTACAGGGCGCCTACATTAAGGATAAATACGTAGAGAATATTTGTTTCTAGAATAGTGAGCTTTCTATGAGTATTAGAGTGCAGGTGCCAGCTGATAATTTTTAGTATTTCGAAGGATCATTCAAACACAGTTGAGACTACCCCGATACATTCACCCATTGCTGAGATAAATACATTATAAAATATCGATTTTTGATATTTAGGGAATTTTTAAAAATCAACGAAGTAAAGTTTCGAGAAATCCAGAAATTACTTTTTTAGAAATGATCTCGCTCATCATTTCCAAAAATCAGAATTCGATTATCACTTATAGTTTTTGAGATCTCGATGACCCGTTCCCCATCCCGGCCCCTTTTGAGCAGGCATAAATAGGGCATATCAACATGTTGGTGCAATAAAACCATATTTCTCAAAAATTTTATATTGATCTAGCTCAACTGTAACATATAGTAATATTAAGACATCGAGTGCAAAGGGTTTTGTCAAACAGTTTATGTCAACCACACTGTAAACCAATTGCATTAAACCACATCACTTTATTATTAAACAAGCTTATGTGTTTTATTATGAAATTACAGATTTATAATTATAATCAATTCATTTTACTTGAGACATGTACTGCGAATAAAAGTTTAACAAATTAAAATTTAATTATTAAATACAAATTACCCTGAACACATGCACACATTATACTGAATAAATAAAAGTTTAAATACGTTAAGTGTTTATTATCAAACATATCATTTTTAAGTACTTATTCATTGAATCATATAATTCTGAAATACTTATGAACAGCTAATTTGTATAGATTTGTTAATGTTATAATAATTTTTATTTGCAAACTTTACATGAACAATTGACATGTTTAGAAATTTATTTATTTTTAATTATATCAGGATAATCATGAAGTATACGATTCTTAAGATTTTTGTACACTTTATACTTCGCCTCTGATTTTTGCTATGAAATCAAACAAATATATGAGTTAAACGTAAATAAAATCAAAAGAAAATATATAAATTAAAAACTATTCACCAAATACTCCGGGTTTACATTAATTCCTATCTTTAAGGACCAAAAAACAATTTTACACAACGAGACCAAAGCAAACACTTTTGCAATACACATATGGATTAATTTTCTATAATTAATTAAAGATGTGATTTGTTGAAATACCCGGCCTCCCTGTGCTCTATCCATTAAGTTTGGATACAAACCATTGACACCATGTATCCGTAGAATTTTACGCTCTTTCCAATGGTGTTCTCAGAATCAATCTAGGATTTATAGTTTTTGAGCTAGTGCATAATACTTAAAAGCTACCAGCCCCTTACAAATAGGTGTTTGTCCATTGGAGTACAGAAAGACAATGAAAATATGAAAAAAGTGTATTTTCAAATTATTTTTAATCAATGTAGTTTTTAAAATAACGATTTTGCCCGTACTTAGTTTCCAAGTCAATAACTTATTAAGTTGATGTGTGCACAAATTATTTGAATGCATTTAATTGAAAGACTTTTTTATTACAATGTATTTTCACAAGCGCTTACTTTACTATTATATGTCTCATAGAATTTTAATAATTATCAATTTTTAATTCTAGTCTTTATGTCATATTTTAATTTAAGTTAACAAAAAAAATTTAAAATTATTGTAATAATTTTTTATAAATAAATAAAGATAATTAAAAATTTTTGGCAAAATTCTTTATAATTTATAACAATTATGTCAATACAAATTACCTTGCAATATAAATCTTAGAAAATTCAGGTAATTTGAAAATAATATTTCGTTTAAAAATACAAATATATGTGTAAACAAGGTTGAGATAATGTACGGACAGGGGTTTAAAGGGCCGGGACGTGCCGTTCGAGTAGAACTAACACAAACACGTAGGGGACGGGCAGCACGTGTTAGGCCATCATCATTATTTGCACAAAGGGCTACCACATTAGTAACCTGCCCGGGTGTGGCTTATATTACTGACCCACCAATTGAGGTACACCTTCAGGCGCCTAACGAATCAGCCGTACAATCAATTGTAAGACATTTCAATCAAACCGGAGCTATACCTGCACCTACCAGTCCCACACAACCTTTAGATGTATCAGAGGAAACCCTACCCCCTCCATACGGTGATATATACCCCACTGATTGGGAGTCAACACCGGTCACCCAGTATGAAGCGCCCGGGTATTACCTGACCCGACAGTGCGATCGGACAGACAATTGGCTCCAGACTTACAGAGACTGGGAATCAGTCGGTACGGAAGCGTACGTTCCCTACAATAAGCCCCTATCGGGAGGGGAACTGACTTTTCTGGAGGGGTATGGCTTTACATTCGTGAAATGTCTGGGACAGGGAGAGTACGGTTCCGTATGGGTGTGTAGGGCTACTCAACTCGTACGGGACAGGAACGGCAACTTTGTGGACGAGGAGGTTGCCTGTAAAGTGATGTCACTGGAAAAGTTTGCCTATAATGTGACATCGGGTGCCCTTTCGGTGGACAGGGCTGTCAGGCGAATGTTCAGGGAGGGGGACACCCATTACGGGCTGACCCACAAGAATATAGTGATCTGTGGGGACGTGTATTACGTGAGCCATAAGGACACCGGCTTTCCATTCATGCGGTGCCTCTTATTTATCGAGTTATGCGACGGAGATCTCAAATCAGAGATCCTAAAGAGGGGTCGACTGTCCGAACAGGAGTCGCACCGTTGGTTCGCACAGATAGCCTCGGGTCTAAAGTATATACACGACCTCAATGTCGTCGACTTTGACATCAAATCCGACAATTAATGATGGTAATAATTAATGATTATTAATAATATATCATTTATTTGAATATTTGCTTTTTAAATCGTGTTTTTATGTAGATGCAATATAGCGATTAACTTTTAATTAATGTTTATTTACTTCACACATTATTTTATAAAATAATTGATAACAAAATATAACAATTTATTTAGTAATTTTATTTGTAAATTATTAATACAACTGGATAATACAAGTTTTCAATTATTCCAAAGTAAAGTTTTTTTTCTAAATTTAGACCCGGGTTAAATTAGACCACTACCTCGACAATGCCGATAATTGACTCTGGTGTTTCGATGGTCTTGGCCACAAAATGCCATTTACCTAGAAAACATGATACAATTATGTTTATTTACCTGATATAATTTTGCATAAATTTTAAATATTATACAAATCAATGGAAAGAAAATTATCCAAGCCAAAGTTCTTACCAATAAATTCCTGTTTGTTCACCTTAGTAGCCAGGCCGTCTATCTTATAATCGGGC